ACCTGCTTTTGTGTCTTCGTGTGGCTGTCAGCGAGCGCGACAGCCGCTTTAAGCAAATCAAAAGGGTGAAGCGAAACGCGTGACCCAGCGTGACCTCTCTATGTAGGACGCGTAGGACAAAAACGTTTCGACGAAAATTTTTCACGTGACTTTCTCTGTCACGCTGATGGGATCTCTGGGGCTGTCGTTTTCGCCGTTTGCCTAGTTATAGAAATAAGCGGGCCACGTAGGTCCGGTTTTCGAACTGCGCTCTTCAGTGTTCTGTTGCTTTCGTGCGCTGCAGACGCGGCTGTGTTTTTTTCTTCGTAAACGGTCGGAATACGTCCATGCCAATTTTTCGGTAACAGCCATTTTTTGCACCGGAGTTCGTGGAATACTTGTGATGTGTTTGTTGGACACGCTTCGACAAAAACTGCTCTTCGCCGACGACGAGACGTCAGTCCTCGAATCCTCGAATATGTTTGTGGGGTGCCTGAGTTGGATTATGCATCTATCAAGGATTACATGATATCGCTCTTTTATTAGTAAGTGCACTCAAGCATGATTCTGATAGTCGTCCTGCTTTCCTCTCAATCTCCGCGGTTTTTGTGTGATGAGTTTTGCTTGGCATGAGGACAGTGCTAATTGTATTTTATAATTTGCTTTTCGTTCTACAGAGAAGTGTGACCTTTGTAAATATGTTGAAAATACATTGCGTGCAAAGATAGTTGTTTAATAAACTTCTGGGCGCGATCGAAAAAAAATTGTTTGTCCGTATAAGTGATTGGATATGCAACAAATGACATGCAACGTACACATACTTGCACGACGTTCGGCCAATACGAAGCAGACGCATCGTAGAGTTTTCGCACAATATTGCGCGAACGCTAGGCCGGGGCGAAACAGCTGTACGGCAATACCCGTCGGGTATCAAACGGTGGTACAAAACTGGACAGTTGAGCAATATTGGAACCGACTTTCGGCCGGCACTGGCACGATACTGCAAAGTATTGCCGTGCTGCTTGGGAACGGAGGTGATGACATCTTACCATCGTGTTTCCAACGCTTGTTTAATTTATTTCTCTTCTGGGACGCGTGAAAGAGCACTTCTGTGACACACCAGAGATATTCGAAACTTGGGCTGGCCTCTCGGCTTTCTTTGCCACTTTTGGCACTTATTTGGCACTTCAGTGGGTGGCCAGAGAAAAGCCAAACTTCGGCATGCCCCGAATCGACAAATTAAGATTTACTGCGGCAGTTATGGCTCAAGTCTGGCACTTACTTTGGCGCTCCTCTGGCGGACCAGAGAAACGCCAAACCTTGGCACGTCCCAAATACCGAAATTAGGCGTTGCTCTGGCAGCTATGGCTGAAGTATGGCACCAACTTTGGCGCTCCTCTGGCGGACACGAGAAAAGCCAAACTTTGGCACGTCCCAAATACCGAAATTAGGCGTTACTCTGGCAGCTATGGCTGAAGTATGGCACCAACTTTGGCGCTCCTCTGGCGGACCCGAGAAAAGCCAAACTTTGGCACGTCCCAAATACCGAAATTAGGCGTTACTCTGGCAGCTATGGCTGAAGTATGGCACCAACTTTGGCGCTCCTCTGGCGGACCCGAGAAAAGCCAAACTTTGGCACGTCCCAAATACCGAAATTAGGCGTTACTCTGGCAGCTATGGCTCAAGTCTGGCACCAACTTTGGCGCTCCTCTGGCGGACCAGAGAAACGCCAAACCTTGGCACGTCCCAAATACCGAAATTAGGCGTTACTCTGGCAGCTATGGCTGAAGTATGGCACCAACTTTGGCGCTCCTCTGGCGGACCCGAGAAAAGCCAAACTTTGGCACGTCCCAAATACCGAAATTAGGCGTTAGTCTGGCAGCTATGGCTCAAGTCTGGCACCAACTTTGGCGCTCCTCTGGCGGACCCGAGAAAAGCCAAACTTTGGCACGTCCCAAATACCGAAATTAGGCGTTACTCTGGCAGCTATGGCTGAAGTATGGCACCAACTTTGGCGCTCCTCTGGCGGACCCGAGAAAAGCCAAACTTTGGCACGTCCCAAATACCGAAATTAGGCGTTACTCTGGCAGCTATGGCTCAAGTCTGGCACCAACTTTGGCGCTCCTCTGGCGGACCAGAGAAACGCCAAACCTTGGCACGTCCCAAATACCGAAATTAGGCGTTACTCTGGCAGCTATGGCTGAAGTATGGCACCAACTTTGGCGCTCCTCTGGCGGACCCGAGAAAAGCCAAACTTTGGCACGTCCCAAATACCGAAATTAGGCGTTACTCTGGCAGCTATGGCTGAAGTATGGCACCAACTTTGGCGCTCCTCTGGCGGACCCGAGAAAAGCCAAACTTTGGCACGTCCCAAATACCGAAATTAGGCGTTACTCTGGCAGCTATGGCTGAAGTATGGCACCAACTTTGGCGCTCCTCTGGCGGACCCGAGAAAAGCCAAACTTTGGCACGTCCCAAATACCGAAATTAGGCGTTACTCTGGCAGCTATGGCTCAAGTCTGGCACCAACTTTGGCGCTCCTCTGGCGGACCAGAGAAACGCCAAACCTTGGCACGTCCCAAATACCGAAATTAGGCGTTACTCTGGCAGCTATGGCTGAAGAATGGCACCAACTTTGGCGCTCCTCTGGCGGACCCGAGAAAAGCCAAACTTTGGCACGTCCCAAATACCGAAATTAGGCGTTACTCTGGCAGCTATGGCTGAAGTATGGCACCAACTTTGGCGCTCCTCTGGCGGACCCGAGAAAAGCCAAACTTTGGCACGTCCCAAATACCGAAATTAGGCGTTACTCTGGCAGCTATGGCTGAAGTATGGCACCAACTTTGGCGCTCCTCTGGCGGACCCGAGAAAAGCCAAACTTTGGCACGTCCCAAATACCGAAATTAGGCGTTACTCTGGCAGCTATGGCTCAAGTATGGCACCAACTTTGGCGCTCCTCTGGCGGACCAGAGAAACGCCAAACCTTGGCACGTCCCAAATACCGAAATTAGGCGTTACTCTGGCAGCTATGGCTGAAGTATGGCACCAACTTTGGCGCTCCTCTGGCGGACCCGAGAAAAGCCAAACTTTGGCACGTCCCAAATACCGAAATTAGGCGTTACTCTGGCAGCTATGGCTCAAGTCTGGCACCAACTTTGGCGCTCCTCTGGCGGACCAGAGAAACGCCAAACCTTGGCACGTCCCAAATACCGAAATTAGGCGTTGCTCTGGCAGTTCTGGCTGAAGTATGGCACCAACTTTGGCGCTCCTCTGGCGGACCAGAGAAACGCCAAACCTTGGCATACCCCGCATTCCCAGATTAGGATTTACTATGGCAGTTATGGCTCAAGTATGGCACCAACTTTGGCACTCCTCTGGCGTACCAGAGAAGAGCCAAACTTTGGCATGCCCTAGTATCGCCCAACTAAGGCTATAGTTAGGCACCGTACTTTGGCACTGATGAGTGCCATGGTGCAAAAACCTAACTGCGCCAAAGTTGGGCCCTTATGTTTGCCAGACCTTTGCCCAAGTTGGGCATTCCTCTGGCGTGCTACCTGGGATTTCTTGAAAATAAAAGAATGTAAGACTTCATTGCCCCAGACTGTCCAGTAGTATTAATAATTTAACATAATTCACACGAGTAACGTACAATACATGACATTTACACAGCGATGCCTAAGCCTCCTCCTAAGTGGGGCAAGCAAAGAACAAATGCGTTGCATTCTTAACTACTCGCTTAAAGTCATATGGCCCAAGTCGAATCGCTCTCATAGATAAGTAATTGTATTACATTTTAAAAGTAATTTGTAGTCGTAATGAATTACTTTCACTTACTAGTAATTGTAATTGTAATTAAACTACTTTTAAAACAAAGTAATTGTAAATGTAATTAAATTACATTTTGAGAGTAATTTACCCATGTATGGGGCATCTTTATGCCGAAAAGCAATATGGTTTTATGTACGTTGTCTAGTACAAGACTGCCAAGACTATGAGCTTTTTTATTTTTTTTTATTGTAGATTATTGTTTTGTCTTGGTGACACGGGAGGAGAAAGGGGGCAGACTTACCAAGGAGCCGTGAGCCGCACTTGGACCCGTGAACAGCCGCACGCGGCTCGAGAGCCGCGGTTTGGCCCTTTGCTATCATGTTGACTTTTGACTGCTGTTTCTTACCAGGTTTTGTTTACCATTCAGTTCAACTGCATACATCCGTAGTGACTGGTACAGCTGAAGCCCCAGCACGATTCCGGACATTAATTATTGACACTTTAAGTGGGTTGTCGAACTAGTCAGACTAAATGCATTTTCGGAAAACCCAGGCTTTAGTCTTCCCAACTTGCTATTTATTATCTCTCCATTCAGATTAGCAATTGAGAAAGCAGCAAATGAAGGTTCTGCCAAAATCAACATTCAAATTTTCCCGCGTTCTCCAGCAGTGTGATGTCACACGCTGTATAACTTGGAAGTCGAGCAGACAGTTTAAAACGACACTGTACTTTAAGCGTTTTTTTTTTTTTGGCGTGAGCTAGCTTAGAATTTATTGCACGCCACCAAACAAGTACAAACTGTGCTGTCCCCATATAGTAATCCTATATAGGAATCAATAAATGGATTGAAGAATGATAACGGCCGTACCTTTGTAGCGGGCGGTAGCTTGCTCCACTTAGCGTCACGTTTTTGGCGTCGCGTTTTCAGTGTTGTCAATGTTACCATGGAGCCTTTCGGACCAGATTTTAAAATGCATTAACTTCAGAAAAAAAGTACTGTGATTTGTAATTTAAGTTACTAGTTCAGTTGTGTCAATCAATGCGTCTAAACAATTTGTATGCAAATCAGTTTGGAAGTAACGAAAATCATTTTGTGTTCACTGACGCAGTAAAATGATTCTAGATGTTTGCCTATAACAGAACATATTATATCACAGAACATAATATTTTATATTTGCTGCTTGTTAGAATATCATAATGCAAGAGCCGTCAACACCCTCGCTTGGCTGACACTGGTGTTTTGGCATGCACAGATTACGACGCGTTGTCCTACCACAACGGACAGAAGTTCACCGTCAAGAAGAGCATGACGCAGCCACCCGACGGAGACAGATGCTCCGCAAGACTAAGTGGTGGCTGGTGGTTCAAGGATTGCAACGAGGCAAATCTTAACGGACGTAAATTCACCTACACTTCGCCAACAAAGGCCCTCGGTATTACCTGGCACATCAAAGGCCAAGAAGAATCCTACTATTATCCCTACGACAGTGTGGAGATGAAGATCAGGGACTACGACTATGGTTTCTGCACGGGCGCTTTTAGATCCAAACGTATCTAATTTCTAATTTCTGCTTCGGTGCAAAAAAAAAAAAAGCACTAAATTGAGCGGAAGTTGCCATTTACGATATGCTCCGTTAATTTCTCGCTTTTTGACTTTTTTTCTGCAAGCTTTGGAAATAAAATATCACTGCTAGAGAAAACAGCATGAATTGTCTTGGCTCTCCCGGCTACCGCCAACGTCCAACGCTAAAGCGGCGGTCCCACTGCTTATGCATTTTACAAAAGAGACGCTGCAAACACTGTCTGAGGCCTTCCTTGTAGATGAGGGTCCCGTCACACTGGTCATATCAAAACCCATTTTAGACATGTTAAAAGCATACATATGCACGAAGCACACACGCTTGAAACCTGATTGAGGCGTGAAAGTAGTGAAATCATGACTGCAGCCCGTGTCGTTTCTATGACGTACGAGCAGTGTGTGAGCGGCTTAAATTCACCAACTGCGCACCATTAGCGCCGACTAAAGCGCGGACCACATGGCGCGTTTTTCTGCACGCGAAAACGCGACGCGCTATGAACGCTCGCGCGGAAGCTGGCGCGGCACCAAGCACCGCCGGCCGCGCGTTATCAGCGTTGCCAGATAACAGAATTCTCAACACGCGATGTAAATCTTGACGCAAATATTAAAAATGAGAACTAAAGGAACAAATAAGTAAATAAAACTGGTTTGTGTGTCAAAAGACACACCTTTTAATTTTATATGGGAAATAAAAATGCTTTTGAACACTTCGAAATGGGCTGAATACGAAAGAGCGTACTGTGCAGGATCACGTGATAGTTCGACCGACCCTCATTGGGCGAGACCCGCTTCGACGCCTCGGCACGCGCGTCTTGTTCTGGGTCGGCTGGAAACCAACGCTCCCGCGAAAACGCGCGCCCGCGCGCAGGAAATGACGTCAGTTTTACACTGACGCGCCTGAGTCGCGAGCAACGAGGTAGAGGGGCTTAGAGCGATAAACCGGGGTTCCGGTCTGCACTCGAAAGTGACCCCCATAAGGCGGCTGCCATTGTACGCAAATTGGACCACACGTCACATGACCAAACCAAATACGTGACGTCACAGGAAAGATGGCAGCGCCCTTGCAGCGGCTGGCCCCAGCTGGGCCGGAGCTTGTCGGATGCTTTTTTGGTTGTCGTTCGTCTCGGCGAGTTGATTTCAGACGCGGAAGCCGTCATATGAGGCCAGTCGAAAGCGAGTTCAGAGTTCAGCGTGGTGTTTGACGTAGGTATAACGTGAAAATACGGAGAAACGGTGTGCATTTCGCTGGTGACCGTCTGCATTTCGCTGGTGACCGACCGGGATATTGCCACGGAAGAGACAATCTGACCTACGTTGCTCGGACCTCGGATTGATTCGGATACCGCTAGGATAAAATTTAAGGCGACGTTTCTGTGCTCTCATTGACCATCGCAATCTTCGAGGTTTGCAGTGAAGCGTGGGCAATATATTTGGATACACAGTTTAACGACGGAAATTGCATGAGTCGTGCTTGGCGGTGTGCAATCGCGGTGCAGCTTCGGTCAAATGACCGAGGGCTCACTTCGGTTGTGCGGCGCACCGGAAGGCTGCCTTGAAGCTGGTAGTTCCCGTGCCGTGCTGAATGATGCTGTGCTGCTTACAAATTGTTCCGGCGTAGAAGTGCACTTTCACGGAGCACAGGTGTGCGGCGCACCGAAGAGCTGCCTTCAAGCTGGTAGTTCCTGTGCCATGCTTTAGGTGATGCTGTGCTGCTTCCGAAATTGTTCCGGCGTAGACGTGCACTTTCACAGAGCACAGGTGTTGCAGTTGGTATTGATCCCGCTGGTCTGTCGCACGTTTCGTCAACACAAACGTTTATCCACACTCGTTACGCGAATTACAAGCTGTCCGGACATTTCATCGAGCGTGTTACGTACCCAGCTCACGCCGCTTTGTGGCAACAGTCTGCAATGGCTCATTGCCAGAAAAGTGGTCCCACATCCATTTCAGTTCAGTACGTCCACGGCAGTCGCCAAACCCCGAAGGAGAGGATTTATTCGGACAAAATGCCACTAAAGCAATGCAGCTTCTTCAGTGTTCAGGATAGATTCTCTTCTGCGAGTTTTGTTATACTGTCACGGATCCTTGTTCCAGTACTCTCTTCTATCAATATTCACTATTTTGGGACACTGCAGGTCATGCTCAGCTCTAATCGTATGTTCAGGTGGAGGTGCTGGGCACTTTACCCATAGCCCTTCACTCTGTGTGAACCCGGCGGCTGTTCAGCCGAGTTACCCGATAATGGGACACGGCTGGCGGACTATCCTGCGTCTTATGCCCCTGTCGAGCCATAAGCAAAGTCCTGACCCGAGCCTGGCAGAACAACCGCAAGACGACCGAGTACCACAAGGAGTAACCTCGGAAATACACCACGAAGCACCTGAAATCCGAGCCAGTTGCTGCTACCAGGAAAAACCACCGGAATTCGGTCTCCTGTCAGAAAATCCGAAGCTGACTAAGCCAACAATGACAAGCCTGTAGCAGCAAACCGTGTCCCCTCCCACCATTGTTTGCATGCCCGTCGCAAATCCCACTCCGACGCTTTTTCACGCAAGCTGTATGAAGACGTCAAGGACTGGATTGAACAATATGACAGTGTCGCCCGCCACATTGGGTGGACAGACAACCAGCTCCTGCAGAACCTATACTTCTCGTGGAGGAAACTGCCGGCGCTGGTCTGAGAACCATGGATCCTCCTTAACGTCATGGGAAGTTTGCAAGATCGAGCTGAAGCGCGCATTCGTCAGCCAACATCAACGAGAGAGAGCCGCATTCTTGATTCTGTCCAGGGCACTGCCCCAATGAGAGCGCCACCGCACTCGTGGAGGATGTTTTGCGCTTGATCGAGCGCCCACGCCCACGCCCACGCCGACCTTGATGCTGCAGAAGACAAGAACCTAAGAATCCCATGCCCCTCACGTGAGGGACAACACCTTTGGCAGCCTTGTCCGCAACCCCCCAACAACAGTCGAAGTGTTCATATCACTGAGGCTTCCAACATGGAATGTGCACTGCATGCCCGAGCCTGCCACTATGAACAACTTCCCGGCGTCTCGACACTCGAGTTGTCCAGCTACTACTTCGACGCCAGCCTCCCAGGCATCCACGACGTTGTCTGGGAGGAGATCAGGAAGCTACTTCCTGCCATCAGTTGCTCGGCTTTTATTTTGATTGCCGAGATTGTTTCGGAACAAGTTTGACAGGTATTTCAACCGAGACTTCTGCGAGCGAAGCGGCACTTGACAAACCAAGGGCAACTTACGCCACAATGGCACGACGACCGCCACCGGCTGCCCCTTTGTATTCAATGCCAATTCAATGAGACACTCTAACGCCGAAGCATTCCCGGCATCGTGTGTAGGTCTGTGCTCAACAAAGTACACCGAGGAAAACGTAGGTGATGCGAATGTGCGACCGAAAACCACTTTGCTACCACTGCGTGAAGCCGACCATGTCTACCAAAGTAGCCCGTACCAATGAATTGGTCGGCGAGGGTTCGTGCCAAACGACCCTCGATTACGTCTCGAGGAGCGACCACGGGAGATTAAGGATTACCTTCGGCGACCTTTTGTCCCTGATGCCGAAGGTGCTGAAACGAAGATTCTGAATCCCTGATTACCCCAAAGCTCCTCATGTCCATCACCTCAACAAGAGGTAAGCACGACAAAGCAGGTGAACGGCGATGCAGTGACAGTGGATTTGGTGTCGGTTGTCGTCCAAGGACAATACCTAAAAATTTGCTGACACCAATTTTCTGTGTCCACTCCACGGAGTACACAATTTCCAACTTTGAGGGAGAATGCCCCTGAGTGACTTGAAGGAATAGAATGGTTGGTTGCTCTCAAAAGTGAACTGCAAGCATCACCAGACTTGGATAGCAAACAAAAATTGTTGCCAGCTTTCAAGTCAACGGTACAGCAAAAGGCACAGCCACGTAAGCAATACATGCCCGAGCTTGCTACATTGATGCCGAAAACTACCAGGAAAATTTTCGGATTAGAAGCCAGCCCTGCAGCTTTAGTGCATCAGACGTCAGTGGCCGCACATGACGTATGATTACAAGACAGCATCAGTCGGTCAAAGTTGCCACTCGACCAAACTGAACACCGACGTGCCAGGAGCGTTATCCGACAACAAGGTCCACAGGTACTACGACTGAACGCCTGACACGAGACTGTCGCAGAAAGAACTCGTTATGGAACCATTTACTAAGAATCAATAATTATGTAATCAAGTGGAAATAAACATATTTGATACACTAACCCGATAAACATATTTCCGCTTGCCTTCATGCCTTGAGAGTCTACACACCGAGAATTGTGTCCACTGCACGCTCTGGACCTTACGAGGACACTCGCTTCTCTGACCCTTCAATATTAATTAAGGGGTCATACCAGACTCGCAGACTTCTAGCAAGGGGCTGCACTCGTTCAACCTTTCCTGAACATGTGGTGCATCCGAAAACCAACTCCAGTGATGTGAAAATGTTATTTATTAATTTATTCCTTCCAGGGGCCTTCGTAGGCATTCCAGAGGGGATACTTAAAACTACACACATGATAATAGCATTAAAGCACACTGCTGTAACTTGTTAATTGGAAAAACAAACACACCTCTGAGCATATAGTTTAATAGTATGTGTTGATGCATTGTTATATAGCATGACACTTCCTATATGTATGACACACTAGACCCTTTGCAGAACCTTATCAAGCAACACAACCGTCACCATGTTTTTCGGCGTAAAGCACACGAATGGGCCCCAGTTCACGTCGAACGCTAATGCAGCATTCGAGTCCAATAGGTGCTGAGCCGAATTCACAGGAATGGCGGACATAACATTCTTGTCGAACCAATGCCCAAACTCTGAAAGCCTGGGGTAATTACAGTAGTAGCTGCTGTAATTTGTTTCATCAGAATTTGGCAGACGGCAAAGGCTACAGTCTCGGTGAGTCAATACACACATTGGAGAGAGGCACATGACAGCATATCACCAGAGTGCTCGTCTGCACAGATTTGTCACACACCTTCGCTCCGTCTCTCTGATTGGC